TGAGTTTACTCGTCTAAAATGTTGTGTACAATACAGGGAAATTTGAAATATCAATAGTATAATATATTTTGAAGAAAAATATATATGATAAGGAATTATTAGTCTATGGATAACCAACAATAACCGGAAAATTAGTTTTTCCAGGTACAACCTTCCATATTTTCATTGTTAAATTATTAACTCCAAAATCAATGACAAACATTGAGAAGAAGAAATCATTATCATCACGAAAAATTCTATGATATTGTAAACCACAACCATATTTTTTAGCAGGTTTAAATGCAGGATTAAAATGTATTTGTTCCCATTCACCTGATCGAGCACTTAATGTAGGTGATCTTAATAAACCTAATACCCAATTTTGTTCTCCTAATGTCGTATCACAATTTAATGTTCCATCAGGAGCTTCAATTAAATGATAAAAATAATCTCCTGATTTGACCATACTACCTTCACCTCCACCGACACATAAACTTTTCGGATTCCATGTAATATTCCATGTATTACAATCTAATGGAGAGAATATTGCATCATTCGGAAGATCATAACCAGCTACATCATAGTTAACAAAATCTCGAGTACGAGCCATACCACGAGCAGCTTTATTATTAGGTCCATCCCAACCATGAAAAGTAATATAGAACCAACCATTCATTTTTTCTATAATTTCAGGTGTACCTTCATCATACATAGTTAATGTACAATGTTTTCCTGTACCGGAACAGATTCTACTCCATAATTGTCCACCTTGAACAACAGGATTTTTTGGATTAGGTATAAAAGGACCAGACATAGGATTACGTCCAGTTCTTGAATAATGACAAAGAGACCAACGTCGATTATTACCAATACATTGAGCTAGATAATGCCATGAATCTGTGTCATTATCAAAGAATGGTGCTCCATCAAGTGCTGCACAATTATCAAAAGTTGAATTACCAGGAAGAGCAACAGCAGCTGGTTCCGACCATGTCTTTCCAAAATCTGTTGAATTTCGAACAGCAATACGTGTTAATGGTACGATACCATTGCAAAAAGCTGGAGTCGGTGCATAGAAACCTTCTCTATAAAAAACATACCATCTTCCATCCAATGGTTTGATATATGTACCTACATTCCACATAGCGGTAGAACTTGGATCACCTTGAGGAGTAGGAAATACTGATGAACTAACTAATTCTAATCCTGCTTGACCAATAAAAATACCAGCTAATCCACCACCATCCAGTTCATTTACAACTGTTTTATAATGAACAATACTACTACAGCAATGATAAAATACACGAAATTCTAGTTTATGTCCAATAGTACTTGTAAAATAAAGAGAAAAAATTTGTGATTGAATATTACCATAACCAAAATCAAGACGAGAAATATTTCTACTCGTCAATATATGATCATTGTCTGCATCATTTACATCAACAGTTAATAAATTTGATGAATCACCAGTAATATTATCTACTCCTAAATAGAAATCAACGCGCGATGATGCTGTTGTATTCCATGCATTTGTATAAGGTCCATATGTGAGATATCTTTCTGATGGATCTTGACTAACAACTATCCAAGCCGTATTATTAAAACGAGAACCTGTTTGATGATAAGCTTGTGTACCCGGATAAAATTCAAGTTGAAGAGCAACTGTACCACGATAATAAAATGATACAATGAGCAGTAATATTATATATATTCGCATAGTCGTCTGTAACAACTAGACAAACTAGATAAAATATTTGTTAATGAAACCTTTATATTAAACATACCAAAATAGATTTTTTATCTCTATTATTTATTATATGTGCATACGAGCTACTGATAAATTATATTCTCGTTGTTGTTCTTCTTCTTTTATCTACGTTACTTCACTGCTACATAGTCTCGACTCACATATAAAAATAATTGAAATTTATTTTAGTAGTTTTATACTTTCATTCATGATTTGTGATAATTTTCAAAGTATAGAGATTGAATTGTAGAACATTTCTTATGTAAGAATTAATTTTTTCAAATTTATTTTGATATAGTTAAGTATTTTATGGCAATAAAAAAAAAATAATGAAATACAGAGATATTATCTATAATATAAAAAACTAATCCTCATCCAAATCACGTTTTCTCTTAGTTGATGTTGTACTCTTCTTAGCAATTACTTTAGATTTTGGTGTGAATTCTTCGTCGCTGCTATCGTCATTACCATTTTTCTTAGATGATACTTTTCTCTTTCGTTTTGTTGTCGACTTATTAACTTTTAAGTTCTCGAATGCTGTTGATATTCTAAAACGACATAATCATATCCATATTTCTATGTAACGTAAAAATTATTCGTAATCTTACTTCTCTTGATCCGCAGGTTTTAATTTAGAAAAGTTGTGTATTTCATGAATACCATCAAGTTTTTTTGTTTCGGGATGCTTCCAAAAACAACTGAAATGCATCCAAGCAGTATTTTTATAACCTTCTTCGTCTTGTAACATAAGAGCTAATCGTAATTCATTTTGTTCTATATTCGTGTGACATCCACGACATGTTGATTTCGATGATTTTGCATATTCCGTCGTACAATGATAAGCAACACGACGACTTATCGATTCTCCTAATTCATTGTCTTCAAAACGCTTCAACATTACTAAATAAAACAAAAATATAGACAATGCTATGCATATTACAACACATTTTTTTTTGTATTATGTATGAAGTTATGTCAACTGAGATGACGAAGCGAATCAAAGCGCTAAGTGCAACGTATTAATAATATAACTAGACTACCATCAAAATTATAGATATTCTATAAAAATAGAATTGAAATATACGTAGTTAAATTTATTTATCAAAAAACTATAATAATCCACATGATTCATACATTTTCTTTTTTTGGATACAAAGCATAAATAACTGGAGCCGATGGCGTGCGAAAAATATATTTTATACAGATGTATATTCAGTACATTTCATTGTGTTGGCGTAAGCAGGTTTTGTAAATTACATCTATGATTATGTGTAAAAATAGAAAAAAATCACATGAGAAAAATATTTAGTATTAACAATATAAACAGTAAACACAGCTGACGTTATTCAGATCGACTGAGCCTATAAATACAAATGACGTTTAGAGTAGTATTTCAATATTATTTCATTCTAGAATAAACAGACAAGCAACATGAATACAATATTTAAGTTTATATGCATCGTATATATAGTTGCATGTGTATGGGCAGCACCAGGTAGGTAATTCGAAGGTTTTAGAGGAATGAATCATAAAAATAAATGTTACTAATGAATGCTTTTCTTTTAGCTTTAAATAATCCAGCTGTTCAATCTGGAAATTTTGGCATTAAACCAATGGTAAGTACAAATATAAATTATCTTTGTCTTTATGGATGTTAAATTAATAAACTTGTATTTTTTTATATACAGCCAATGATGTGTCCAATGGTCATGTGTGCACAAATACAACAACCATGTGATAACATCCAGATGAGTTATATGACTATTAATGGTCAACAGTGTCCAGGTTGTCGATATTGTGCCACACCATTAGCTACTACAGATTCATAAAATTTTAACTATAAACTGCATTATCTATTATATGTATAAGATACAATAGCTAGTATTCAAAATAAATCTTCCTATTAATATATATATATATATATATTTACATTATAAACTGATGATTGTTCTCTTTAAGAATTTATGTCATTTCAAACTCTGTACTTTGATAAATTAACTTGTTTTATCTAGATTACATGTCTTACATATAATAGCTCATTGTTCGCTACACTACAGGTTTAGGTGATGTACGTATTGGATGATGGACAGATCTCAATTGTGGATTTATACAATCAGGAGGTGAATCAATTAAATTTGCTTCATTATTTGATAAAACAATCAATCAAACTTGTGTTAATTATCAATATTAAATGAGTTTCAGCGGATAATCATAAACTTAATACAATTTGAATATTTTGTGTTATTCTTTTTATTTAATACAGAAAATAAACGCTTTTCATGCAAGAATTTTATAATTTTATTTGATCTAGAGAATTCATTATTAGTTGTGACAAATCTTTGTACATTTAAGACTAAAACATATCGGATATTTTGTTTTAAATAATTTGAGAAACGAATGATTGAGAAATTATTTGGTGAAAAAAATAGTTTTTTTCGTCTGTGTCTCTGAAGTTTGATTTAAATTAGAATCAAAGATCAAACAAAAATGGTTTCGAAAAAGTTCAAAAATGAAAATTTGTCAAACTATTAAATCCCATAATAAATTCTATTATTATTATGTTGTTACTTTCGATGATGTCATTTTTTTCTTTTGATAAGAAAATAATCAAACTAACTGTTGATATCGATGAAAATTATTCTATTTCTTTCTTTATACTATCGAATTTAAGATAAGAAAATCCCATCTACGTAAAATTAGAGATCAAAGTATCAAATGGGATGGAATAATGTCATTCCATCTCATACAGATTCCTACTATGAATATAGGCTGGAATTCAACAGAGAAAAATTTGAAAATTTTCGTTCGGAATACTGTTCCCATGTTCCAGTGAGTTCCGGTGATTTTTCTGCCGCTTTCCTGTAGGATTCCGAGGAATCCCGATACCGGAGCATTCGACATGGGTAGGGAGGAGGCATTTATATTCTGTGAAGTGATGATAGTGTCATGTGAATTCTGTTTCGATTGAATATTGAAGCGACAGGGTTTGATCAGCTATCCTGATACATAGCTTCATATCGGTAAAACTTCATAATTTGCAAAATTTATTTGAAATCTAGAAACTTGAACAAGGAAAAATGAAGTAGTTAAAAACATGAAGGTTGCAAAGAAACTCTGAAAAATTGAATAAGAGGGATTTGAAGCTTGAATAATTATAAAAGTATTCTCATTTTAAATCAACTGTTCAAATTCTATAATAAAATCAATCGTTTTTTTAAGTAAAAAAAAATCAATTTGTGAAATGGAATGAAAACTATGTGTTCGTAATAGTGGGTTATAATGGAACACCACCAAAACTGTCGAGATAGATACGACCTGAATGACCAAGTTGTGAGCAGTCTATTGCGAGTGCACTTAAAGTGAAGCTGTTACCTATGCGAGTGCTGTTGATAACCAAATGCTCGATTTCCCAAGAAGGCGTATAGAAGTATGAACCAGATTGATTGAAACGACTATCGACTCCGCCTGAACCTCCGGCATTGTAGACGCGTCTGAGTATTACGTCACCAACGGTCAAATCTTTCACTTCGATGATCATAACGGACGATTGAGCTGCAGTGTGGCCACCATTTTCCAAAGCCGCTAACCACGCAAAATATATATCCGTACACGAATAATTATGGACTGCTTGAGAAAGAACAGATCCATATCCACCATTCACCGTATCCTCAACACGCCACGAATAGCTCCCTCGAAACACGATGTTTGGCATTAAAGTGCCAAGGACTGGATCGTAGCCATGAGTAACAATACTTGAATGTGTATTGGCAATAGTTAAACTATAATGTGAACCACCGGGCAAGTAATCGTCGGGATAAATGTTGTCTGTGATGTCCCCATTACGTGAACCACCACCGACTGTCCAGCCCGCGGATGTACCAGATTCAAAATCACCATTGGCAAAACTTATTGCAGCACATGCTTTAAAAAACAAAAACGGAACGGTCAATCCTTACGATTTCAGAAATCAATTATAACACATTTAAAGATTTATAAGGCCTTTCCGTAACAAGGTATCTTATTCATATTTCAATAGTGAGCAATTTTCTTTCTAGATTTATTGCAGTGAAAATTAGATTGTTCATCAATATTCAATTTTTGAAAACGAGAAATAAAAGATTAGGGCACTCATTTTACTCTTAAGTTTTAAAATAGAGTCTTCAATCCTCATAACCTTTCGTTAAATTTTACGAAGACCTGATTATACTGTTAAAATCAGCTTATTTTAAGTGAGTTATTTATGAGTATTCTTATATTATAGCATTGGAGAAGCTGTATGTCGATATATTCACGATTTATTTTAGTTAAATTATCGACCAGCTGATTTTATTTTAGCATTAGGTTTGTGCAAGCTCCGTTGTAGTGCATCTGAGCGGATCTACTATATGACGTAACATAATTACATTTATTAGAAACTTAATGAACATGAGATAGAATTAGGTGTTCAACAATATCAGCCCAGTAGTTAAAGTAGAACAGTAATATATCTAACTAAAACTTGCTTTTTTTAAAAATTATACTTAAAGAATAGTCAACTATTAATTGAAAAAACCAAATATTACCTGGACTTGGTGTTGTAGTTGAAGTTGAAGTTGAAGTTGTCGCTGTAGTTGTAGTTGCAGTTGTCGCTGTAGTTGTAGTTGCAGTTGTCGCTGAAGTTGAAGTTGTAGTTGTTGCTGTAGTTGCACTCGTACTTGTCGTTGTACTTGTACTTGTACTTGTCGTTGTCGTTGTGCTTGTACTTGTGGTTGTCGTTACTGAAAACAAAGCGAAGAACACTATGTCAACGAATCCACCTTTTGTAATACTTTAGTAATTCGTATTATGTTCATAAAATTTGACGAGAAAGTATCATCTCGGAACGGTCGGTTACGAAAGCCCAGTGTTTTTTAAGTTTTACTGGGCTTTCGTATCGCCTTTTTGACAGGGCTTTCGTAATCAAAAATTAATGCACTTTTTTATCGATTTTACAGGGCTTTCGTATCAGTTTTTACAGGGCTTTCGTATCACAAATACACAGACTTTCGTATGCATTGACAAAGTGTACCTATACATTCTACAGGACCTTCGTATCGTTTTTGCAGGGTCTTCGTACCGCTCGTACAGTGTTATCGTAAAGCCAAAAATGTTAATATTATGTCAAATTAAATACTATTAACAGAGTTTTCGTATTGATGTAAGTATTTTCTCAAAGTAACCATGAACAAAGTTCAAGAGTAGCAAGAAAGAACCAGAATATAAATGAACACATCTTAATCTTTTTTTAAAATTTATTTCCTAACAACACAGAAGATATGAAGAACAAAAAATAACACAACAACAAAAAGACTTTTTATTCGCTACGAATGGATCGTACTTACTAACTAAACATATATATACTTTCAAGAGTATTCGCAACGAATACCTTGTTTTCTTATGGAGTATTAGTCTTT